TTTAACGTCAATCCAGCGGTAGAGAAAACTCTTTCACTAGGTGTGCTGGTCACCGGAATGCAAAGAATTTTTTTGGCGAGCTTGGAAAGATTGGGAAGTTAACTCTTCTTTTTTCTCCAAAATTTTAGAACGTGTGAATAACGTTTTCCAAGAAAACTGTGGCATTCTTGTTCTAAATTACCTAACTTGGAATCATAATTTATATTTGTTGAATGTTTATTTGCTAGTTTTGTCAAATAACGTGAATTTAATAATTCCTCTTGATCGTCATTAGCTATATATACTACCTGATTATCATCATTCTCTATAAGTTAAAGATGTTTTATTATAAATTCTGAAGCTGATCAATATTGCTCTATTAAATACTTTGACACAATTGTCAATTTTTGAAATCTTGGATTTAAAAGAGAAGCCAATACCTAGATAATTTTAAATAAAAAATATACTTATATATTATTACTTGCAGATTACAAACCGGAAATCGTAGCGCAAGTTTTTTTAGCATATTTTCTTTAAGTGAAATGATTTCAGAACTATCATTTACTATTAAATGTGTTTCAATTTCACTTCTAAAAAGTAACGCCAAATTTAAAGTATGCCCCTTTTGTACTGAAAGAAATTCGACAGTTTCTTTAAATTTTGAAAGAAATGCTAATAGTTCTTCTACCAGATCAGATTCATAGTTTGATAATTTGAGAAAGTGCTTCCCAATTCTCTTCAAAACATTATTAATTAAATTCTTATTTAATCCAGATATGCTTTCTAGCATAATTAATATACTATGCCAACGTGTTGGGACATTTAATTTAAAGGTATTCATATGCGTGGAATTATTGTTATTATCAATGGAATTGCCCATATGAAAACGGGTATCCGGGTATGGATCAATGCTGTCAAGATCTAACATGTCTGATGTTAAATCTATTGTACTTAGGCATTTTCTTTGATATTCCTCGAATTCAAATTCAACCTCTGCAGTTTTATATCTTAGAGCAGTATAATTTCTCTAATTCTTTTGATGAGATTTTCAACAAAGGGTACCTTTTTAATACCATCCACTGCAACCAGATTGTGTAAACCATGACCCAAACATAAGTGGTGTTCATATTCACCTAATCGAACACCTTTTCTAACATTAGGCCCAGCAGTGACCATTTGTATTTTTTTCTTTTTTAAATTAAATCCTCTTCTATTTTATCAATTTAGAATAGTCTCAACTGTGTGTTTTTGGGTTATATAATGAGTTGCTAAAGTAAAGTAAATCATTTCAAAATTATCATTTATTATATGTATGAAGTGTAAATGTAATAAAGTTTCTTCTTCTGTATAGATCTGTCCACATATCAAATGTAATTGAGCAATATTTTGGCCCATAGTTAATTTGATCTTGTACATATGCTTTCATTGATAGGTAAACATCATAAGAGCAATACGGATTAGTGTTGTCCTGTCTGGCAAATCAGAATTAAAATTGATAACTTGATATTTCTAAAATAAGTATTTTGAAATTTATAATAAAAAATCATATATCTTTAATATATTAGACAACAAATTAGGGAGAATTTTTCAAAAAATAAATTTGTTAAAATTTATTCTGGGTTGCAAAGCTCAAAAACAGAAATGATTAAAACAAATGAATATGCAATTATCCAATATTATTTAAATCATATATGTTTATATGTAATAATATTGTTAGCATGGCTATAAAATTCAACTATTATAAATCTTCCTCAATAACCAATGCTATCTCAATAGAACAAAAAATACATAAAGGTAGATCTATTATTATTATAAATAATATATCTATAAATTTGATACCTTCAAAATTCATTCCTATATTATCAATTGATTAGAAAGGTAAAAAGTCAGCACAACATAATAACACATAATTTCTTGCTTGAAGCCATTTTTTGGAGGTTTTAGAATTTATCTGGAATTTTGGTTTGGATATAAAATATTTTTTTAAATCTTGCTATTTTGATGAAGTATCTGCTTTAATATTATGTTCAGAAGTCAAGTGTTTTAACAAATTTCCTGTGCTAGTTTTGAATTTTATAAAAATATAATTTAATTTAGTAAAACTTTTGGCTATATATGAGAAAATACTATTTAAAAAAAATATACTGTGAAAATGGCTTATTTGAATCATCATCTTCTCCAATAGCCTTTTCTAAGCAACAATTGCAGTAAAATTTGTCAGAATTTATGGAAATTGTTTTGTCATCTCTTTTTAAGTGTAAGTATCCAAAAAATTTCCAGACTATGGATTTTTTATTTTCCAGAGTTAGGATATTAAAATTATTTATAGAATTATTAAATGTAGATGCATCCATTTTAAAAATATGTAAAATTATGGTAATTTTTGGAATTTTAGATTTTTGATTGATTGAATTCTATAATGACGTCAATATAATTATCATTTTAAAATCGTAGAAAATAAAAATTCATCAAAATCCTGATTGACATTAAAAAAATTACAATAGTGATGTTGACCAATTATAGAATAAAAAGGTATAAAATATGAAAGTAATTTTTGCGCCGGCCGTGCGCCGCCTAGGCGTAATTTTCTTAAACGGCGGCGTTTTCGGCGTAGGCCGACCGGCGCACAGATCTAGATATATTTAATTAAATTATATCATAAATTTGAAATTTGATTTACATTATTTGTAAATTATTTATTTTTACATATTAAAGATATTTTATTCTATTTCTAGTGTCCTGAAAAATATATAAATAAGCAAACTATTCAAAATTTATTTAGCATTTTTATTAAAATATATAAATTATTAAATATATATATATTAAGGTAGGATAAACAAATAAATATATATTTACAGATGTGTGTATATTAAAAAAAAATACATATACAATGATTTATTTATAAAAAATCCTTGAATAAATTCCTTGATTGAATATTTTAGAAGTTTCCCCTCACTTCATGATAGAATTGTTTGTACGTCTTCTTAATAAATATTCTTCCAAACTAAAAAACTCCATTTTGTTTAATAAAATTATGAAAATTAGAATCATGTTTCAATTTTTAACAAGGGAAAAACGTACTGCTTTCAATTTAAACAAATATGAGGCACGTTAAAAAACGTACTGCAACGCTCAATTCGTGCGCACCATAAGAAACATTTTATTTTATATATATTTTATAACTAATTTATGCCGAGTTAAGATAAACCGCCAAAGTTCTTTTTTTTATTTTATTATATTTCTGTTGAATTATGTCGATTGTTAATCAAATTTTCTCTCCCAATTCAATTGAATCAGCCAAGGCATTTTAATTTATATTCTCTATATTATACAAATCAATAAAATTATGGGCAAGTGTGCACTTTGTAAGACTAGTTGTGCCCTAATTCAAATATTTCAACCTCGAGTCCAGCGGCTCAAATCTAAAATAAAAACATAAATTCAGCTGAAATTTAAAAATTTGATTCTTAAAATATTTGAAATAAATTCTCTCAATTAAAAATTATATTTAATAACCCTCCTATCCTCTTCCCAAGTTGAACCTGTGTTGACTACACGCTGGTTTATCTGATCAAAATTTTGAAAATCAATTGTTATAAATATATAAAATTTATCACAAAAGACCTTTCCTATAATATATTATTTTTATTATCTATGGGAAAAAAATAGGTAAAGAAAATTTATATATATTATGTAGTATTTTATAAGTACGAGTAAATTTTTTGAATAGCGACTAATGCGTTTCTTTTTTCACAAGGTAGAGAGTAAGTAACGCGTTTCTTTTTTCAAATGTAATGAGTAGCGCGTTTCCTTTTTGAAGTAATGTTTACAGCATTACTACAAATCAATTTAAACAATATTATAGTTTAGTAATTTTCAAGCCTCAGTATGAGGCATTTTTTTTTATGAAACCTTTCACAAGAGGGTATCTTAAGAAAGGTGACGGAAAATAGGGTCAATATAATATTATAAATGAGTGTTAAATATACTTTTATTTTTAAGGAGTTAATTTTATTTTGAAAAACTGCATAATAAAGTTATTTTAAACCCGTGAAATTAATTATTTCTGCATTTTGAATATTATACTGAGCATTTAATTCGCCCTATAAGAAATAACAATCAATAAAATAAAAAAACTACTGTTTAGCTAAGAAAGCGGGATTTCTTGAATTGAAAAATATACGATAAAAACATCGCGTTCTCTTAATTTATATGAACACGCAGAAAATTTTTACAAATGCTATTTTTTTTATTCAATTATTATGGATATCCGAATAAAAAAAAATATATGTTTAAAATGCAAATATATAAAAGTAATAAACACACTGCACCCTTAGTTCATTAAAAAATATATATATTATTAGATATACATAAAACATGACATTATTCCTCACCTGCATTCAATCAAAATATAGCGGTTGTATGCAGTGAAGACTTTATTAAAAAGACCAAATAATTAATAATATTCTATAGTAGAGAACATTAACGGCCCGGTTTATATCACTCCAATCTAGTTAAAATGGTGAACTCAGATTGATTTGGAAACCCAAGGGGTAGAAGAAATTTTATAGGGTCTAGTACGCTACCTTTTAACATTGACAGTACTACTTAGTGTTTGCAATGTTCCGGTCTTTTTTTCTAAAATGAGACCGGACCGAAACACTAGTACTACTGTTTTAGTTGGGTGGTTAGTCATCATATAAAATAATTGTGTTAATGGTTTTAGGACTAAAAATTACATTTTTGGAAGGAGATAAGTTTTAAAAAAAATTAGATATAAATAAACAACTATTTCCACATGTTAATCATATTGCATAAACTTCACTTATTCCAACCATTGCCATTATAAATTTTACCCCATCCCGTTGTTTAAATTTTTTTAAAAAAAGATAATTTTATAATTATAGTGTCACAAAATCAAAATACATTATAAAATTTCTTAAATAATAATAGTCGTAGTGTTATATAAATTAATATGCTTTATTTATTTTCAAATTTGTGTTAAAAAAGGGTGTGTTTTATAATAAAAATTCGTGAGCATATAAAATCAATGCCTGAATGAATACCTTTTTTTTAAATATAATATAACCCATATTATATAATAATATAGTAAATTTTAATCATATCGTATATTCATTTATAAATAATATATATTATTTAAATAAAATAAATCACAATTTTCAATCATTTCATGTGTCATTAAATTGATGGACTCACCATTAATTGTAACTTTCAGAAAGAATCAATGATACCTTGCAAAGAGATTATATTTTTTAAAAAAAATTGGTATTTTCATGGCAAATGTTTAAAAAAAAAATTATCTAATTTGATTTGCTCTATCGTAAAATATAAGTAAAAAATAATGTATTCCGCTTTTCGTGTTTAAAATATGATGATATATATATACATACCTGCTCAAAAGTGGGACACGCAATTATTAACTGCTCTTCATCGCTGTAATATTGGCATATAAAGTCGCGGATTTTGCAAAACGATCTTTGAGCATTGATCTTTAAGTTAAATTTAAAAAAAACAATTTTTAGTCGTAAAGTCAGAAGAGGGGGGAAAAAGGGATAGCACTAGTCTTTTTAGTGTAACATTACATTTTGAAAAAAGTAAGTAGTTATATTCCGGGTTGGGCTTTTCGGGACAAATAAAAAAAAATTGTTCAGGATAGGGATGGGCTAAAAAAAATTTTTTTATTATATCTTAAATATAAATTATCATGTTTTTTTAAATGCGTGGTGTAATTCTTTCCAGTAATCAAAATTTAGTGATAGTAATATTGCCTAAAATTTTATAAGCTTGCAATTTAATTAGGTAGTTAAAAAAGAACATCTTTATTTTAGATTTAAGTTTATCAAACTTCTTGTATAGTTTGGAAATTAAATTATTAATACTATTTTAATATATAATGAATAGGAAACGAATACATTCTGTTTATATATAATCTCCTTGATAGATTTCAAAATAAAATATTATTTACGATAAGCTGCTTTTATTATATTAAGTCATATTCTTTTGAAACAATTAAAATTCGCTAACTTAAAACAATTATCTATAAAAATTTAAAGCTTTAATTTATACGATATAACAAAACTGTTAAAATTATTTTAAATTTAATTTAAAAAAAATGTTTTGAATACTAAATAAAATAATGAGTTGAACCATATATATTTATATTTATAAATATGTAAAATTTCCCATATAAATTTTAGGAACGTTCCGGAATTATTATAAAAACTTTGCTGAAATCAGCGTTTCCAATCCGTTTTAGTTCCATACTTTCCCTTAAGTTCCGTTCCCGGAATGTGTATGAACGTTCCCATGTCATGTTTTTAACCAATACCTACAAACATCTTGATAATAATATTTTATTTTATAATATATCTACCAGAAGCAATCATTAGGTGCTTTTTGGCTTCAATTAATTTAAGACTAGACCAAATTTATGATCGGGAAGAAACAACAATCCCCAAATGTGACATTTAACAAATGGGTTATCTAGGTAAAGTCAACCCTTCGTGTTACTCTACATAAACATTATCATTTTTAAAATTATTATCCATTAATAGTATACTTAGTTACAGCTAAAATCTTAATATCTGATATTATAAAGGTTAAATTTTATTAATCCATTCCTTTTTATTGTTAATTTATTGTGAGAAAGAATGAATAAATAACTACTTTTAAAGGTTTGAATAATATAAATTCGGTATCGGGGTTGGCTAAGTACAAAGCTAAACTAATTTTGACGAATTTAGCATTTTCTTTAAACGTTTTATAAGCAGTGGACATTTGAAGCCTCATTTCTTCACCATCGGGTAGTGTAGGAGAGTTTTGCAAACATTTAATATTAGCATCATCAATATGACCATTATCTAAATAATTTAATTCCTTGGTATTTTGGGTGGCATTTAAAGATTGAGGAGAACTTTGATGTTTCCTTAGCTATAGATAAGAAAATAGAAATATACAAGAGAAATAAGTAAGCAAATATCTACTAAAGTCTTATATCTGTATAAATAATTTTTCTTTATAATTCTGAATGATATATATTTTCTTTCCACATTGTAATTAATATTCTATTCTATCCTTCAATTATCATCAGTTACATAGTCCAAACAAGTGCCACGAACGGGCCAGACTCATACACATTTTGTTCGAAGTAGGAGCAGGACCTGTTAATATCAACTATCAACAGGTGGGGATGGTCACAGCACGAATATTATTAAGGGATTTGGCTAAATTATAATGTTTGCTTAATATTAGGGATCGAATCAAAAATAATTTTTTTAAACCCAATATATGCTGAAATTTTTGGGAAACTGAGTTAACCGTTACCGTAATGACTATATGGGGTCAGCCCTCATAAATATGAATAACTTAGAATAATAGTTACTGGCCCTACTATTTTCCATTACTACTTTTCTCTCATTGAGTATTAAGTAAATATTTTTCCTAAAAAATGGATGAAAAAAACACTTTAAACTATGAACAAAAAAATAAAATTATTCCATTAAATTAAATTTGTTATTTGCTTTGAAGAAAGAACAAAAAGTGTTAAAACCTGTGTTATTAATTCGTCAATTGTTCCTGTCATAAGCAAGGAAGCATTACGAATAAAACTTTGACACATGTCTATCAAATTTTCATCCACCAATTTCCTGCTATCCAAATACCTTTCGTGAAAGCTGGGTGAACTCTGTTTACCAAAATGCATGTCATTTTTTAACATGTACTCAATATAATAGTAATTTAAACTTTTAAATAAACATAAAATTTTTGGTAATACGTTTAAGATGAATTCTAAAAATGCATTGTTTTTGAAGGATAGAAAAGCTAATTTTTGATGGTGAAACATCTTTATCGCCGCATCTGAAATATAAAAAAATTGATCATAATTTTGCTATATTATCAATTTTTATATATTAATATAAACTCTTAATATATCAGAGACCAAGATACCATTTTCACGGCCCAGATTTAAAAAAAAAATTCGGCCAGGTCAGAACTCGACTCGGATTTTTTGTAAAAAATTTGACCCAGCATAGCCCAGGTTTTATATTTTGCCCGGGTCGGATTTTTTTAAAATATTATTTTTAATAGATGTGATTTAAAATATTTGAACGAAATATATTGTATAGAGCGCAAAACGCAATAGCAAAATACGTGTGGGAGAGATTTATATTAATAGAGAAATATTTAAATGTTGGAAAGTGAAAATATATAAGTGGAAAAATTTAGAGTAGTTCTGAAGTTTAATGCTCGAAGGGAAAGAGATGTAAATTTTTACGAGTATTGTTTGATTTCCGCAGAGATGAATAGTACATGATGCGGCCAATGTTTAAAGAATTGATAAATTTTGCATTATTATAATATATCAATAAAGAGGTATGTAAATGATGAGAGTGAAGTTATTTTATTCGAGTGTAGAAAAGAGCATCATATGTTTATATGAGCGAGACAAATATTTAAAATTTTAAGCGAATAGTAAGGTGACGAATAGAAAGAATAGTATAGAAGTGCGCTAATTTGAATTAAATTATGTAGGAGCGAGAATTTTAAATTAGCGAGAGCGAATATTGATGAAACGATGAAAGCATAAAACAATATTGTGTAATAAAACAGAAGTTATTATAGATAAAAGGAGAAAATGGCGAGTGGCAAAAAAAATGTTTATGTGAAGGTGTGGTATAAAGATACGTATAAAATAACGAAGCGTTCGAGTGATGAATTCAAATGAAGAGAAAACCTTTTTTCCAAGTGAAGTTCGTCAAATACAAATGGAGTGAGTAGGGCGATAGTGGGTTGAAACAAGAAATCGGAGGCGGAGAGAAGTATAAAACAAAATGAGAGGGTAAATGAGTTGACTCCAGGTGAGGCAAAATATATTCACGGGATAAAGATTGATGGTAAATACTATGAGAGGAAATTTTTTTTTTAAACTAAGGATGTACCGATATTTTTTACCGGATCAATCATTTATTTTTATAAATAAAATCGAAATTCATTTTTATGTATATTTTTTTAATAATAATAATTAATTAATAAATATTCTGCCATATTGTTATTTTTTTGCGCATTCTGTTTATAAAAGTGTGTGATAATCTCTCTGGTGATATTGACAGTTACCATCGCCGCAGGCTGACCTCTGATAAATTGGAAATTTTGGTATTTCTAAAAAGAAATCTTCGATATATTAATGTTAAATATTATTTTAAATATTTATTTCAAATTTCATAAAATATTTGTTTATTACTTATTATGTATATTGATTAATGTTATTACTTATTATAAAAGTGATTTAACAATAAAAATATTTTATATACTTTTAGAATTGCAATTAAATTGAATATAAACTATAACTGATCATTATAATATATTTAAATTACATAAGTTATGGTATAGTTAAATCATAGATGTTATACTAATAAAAAGTATATTAATTAAAACCATTGGTATCTTTATCGAATCGGTAATCGGCCGATATCAACATAATATCGGGAATATCGGATCGGATCGGCTTCCAAAAAGTGGTATCGGTACATCTCTAAAAACGAGATTCTTAACGGTAATGATTTGCAAAGAATATTTAGGATAAAGTAGAGACTAAAATATTAGAGTGGGAGGTAGTTAAAAATATTTTATTTAAAAAGGAGATATATTCTGTTTACCTTTGAATTTTGGAATATAAATTTGAAGGAATAAAGGAGAAGAGTTTCATTGGCGGATAAAAAGAAATTTTTTTTGTAAAAGAAAAATATAATTTGGGACGTATTTAATTGAGTAGAAAATGGAATAATTTTCTTTCAAAAAAATAAAATAATAAATTGTTTTGGTTTAAAAAAAAGAGGGGGATAGAGGAGATGATGTCTTAATTTATAATGTGGAAAAGTTTATTAGATAGTGGATTTTTTAAATGAGTTGACGAATAACTAATACATGTCAAAATGAAATGAGGCTATTAAATTATCTTAAAATTTGGGATAATATTGTCTTTAGAGGTCATTTTTTAAACATTTTAATTAAAAATCCTCAGAAAATGAATTATAATAAATTATTGTAATATATCTCTCAATTATCCTCCCTTAAAATTGATTTAAAAGAAATCAGAATTTAACAATGATGAAGGGAGAAATATTTATATGAAATCAAGTATTTTTGTGTATTTCATAAGCGATAAATAGGAAGGTAATTAATGATTTGCTTATACTAAGCAATTTGAAAGAGGCTCAAAAATTATTTTAAAAATTCTTTAATCAATAGGTACAACCTCTAAGTATTTCTATCTTGCTAATGCCTGTAAAAACAAAATTTTCATAAAAACGAAAGTTAATATAGATAAGTTACACCAAATTTTATATTTATATATATATAATCACCTTTTACATTAGGAAAATCGATGATTATTTCTTTTTGGGCGAACCGGGTCTGGAAAGGGTTTATCTGCTCACGGAGTATGAGTAAATGTTTTACGAGGAAAAGCTGTGAATCTAACAAGCTCTAAATATGATTTTACAATAAAAAAATATTTTTTGATAAATTGATTTTAAAAAAATGAAAAATCTATATCATAACGTCCAAAGCTAAATAATAATGTACTAGAGCTAATCCGATCAAGTATCAGCCATTTCGATTTTTAGTTATAACATTTTGAGAAAAATATTTTTTATGGGGAATAGAATAATTCAATATTTATACCAAAAAAAATAAATATACATATAAACGAGTTATTCCAATTTAAAAGAATAAAATAATTACTAATTTTTTTTTGAAAAAAAAAATTTGACGATATAAATAATAATATTTTAACATAAATATTTTTTTATCCGCAATTTAGATATATCGGATCGGCTTCGATATTCTTATCAAATAGAATGAGACCATTGCGATGATAAATTGGTATACAAAATCTGCTTGAGAATAATGGTAAAGAAAAGAAATAATTTTTTTAAAAAAATGAACATTTTCTAATTTAAAAATTACGCTTTTATTTCGAATTAAGGAACTAGCTTTAGTCAGAGATTCCAAGCAAGCGTTTAACACGTCTTGAGATAAACTTTGAAAAACCGATTTCTGTATTTGTAAATATAAAAGTACTCATTTTTTTTTAAAAAAAACCTATTTATACTAACTTATTATGAGCATATGAAAATGAATCATTAATCTAATTTTTAAATTCTAACTTCCGTGTCTTTCAAATTTTATTTAAAATTTTTTTGAATTTCATAAAATATTTTATTGCGTTAAATTAGATAATTATACTATAAATTTTGATTTATTTATATATTATATCATCGAAAGTTATATATTTTTATCAACAAAGATACTTTTAAATTTAAATTTATATTATTATAGATAGAAAAAATTTATGACGAATTCTAATAAAATACAATATCTGTATCGAAAACAGAAAAGAATATATAATTATACATTGAACACTAGACATTTAATAGGTGATCTCAGTGATTGATTAGGGCTAAAAAAAATGGCTATATGCTGAAAATATGAGATTAATTATATACAAATCAGAGATTCCGATATGTGCAAGAACCAAAACCCGGCATTTTAACTGATTTATATAAAATTTAACCTTATATGGATTAAATTAAGGGATAATAGACTGATCTGTATATGCTATGTTTTTCATATTAATTTTTGTGATATATTATTGTTTTTTTAATAATAAGTATAATTATTCTTGTTTATTTAAGGATAGTTTTTTATAATGTAATAAAAATCGTTTTTAATTTTATATACTTTTTGTAAATTGTTTTATTCTAACCCGTATTGTTTTATAGGTTAATGATAGTCACTACCTTAAGGTATTACCTATCAAATTTGTATTTTGTTTATTTTTCATTTGGATAGCCACTACCAAATTTATTTATAATATATATTTGAAAAATCGTGATATTTTTGCAAAACCTCTGTGGCCTGGTCGGCAAGAGCGTCGCTTACCAATCCGATGGTTATGGGTTCGAACCCAGCAATCATGTTTTTTTTAAATCTAACTTGGTAGCTCCGTCCTTTGGGGGTTGATATATAGGGGGACAGGACTCGACCACGTGATTCCGTTATAATATATGTTAAATAATAAGGATCTTATTACATTTTAATAAATTTTGGTCGGTATTTAGGAAATTTGGTTGGTATTTAGATACGTTGACTTGGTATTGACTATCATTAACCTGTTTTATATAGAAAGGGGGGGGGGCGTGTTGTATTTGTCAGTTTATAAGACAGATATTGAAGCTTTTTAACATATTCGAAGAAGGTAATAATTTATTATAAATCATGTGCTTTTGTTTGTATAATATTATGGTCACGATATTTTAGAGTATTTGATTTACGATTTATAATGGCATTTATTTGATAATTGATATTAAAAAAGAGAGGTAAAGATATTAAAAATAATGATATTCATAAAAACTATTTTTTTTACAATATTATTATAAAAGACTTTTATTACGTTACTATTTTTATATTAAATTATTATCTTACATATCAAAAACATATTATTTTCCCTTTTTATTTATATTTTAAAACATCATGTTTTAAAACTATAAAATTGATAAATACATATTATTGAAAAAAACAATAATAAATGAATATTTTATTGTTTTTTCTTAAAATATATTTCGTTACACGACTCTTACTAATGCAAAATATTGAAATTATAACAGTTTTAAATTAAACCCCCACGATATTAGTCACGCTATTTTTTACACCCTTACACTTACTCAAGAGTTAATATTTAAAAAATAAGTTTACATCTAAACAACGATTGAGTTTGGATAAACATATGACGGATCTCCTTACGGTCGTGTACCAAAGACCGTACAATTCGTAGGGCGAATTAGAATATCTAGTATTGCTTAGGTAAGTTGAATTGTTACTTATTATGGACCTAGTAGAATAGATAGAACACGCTCGATTTTTACCTTATTTCATGTCATTACAAGATATAGAAAAAATATATAGTTTTTTATACTTATCTTTCTATTGATTATTTTTTTAAAAAACATTTATTATCATCTTTAATTTTTTTTCCTAATAATAAAATGTTTCATACATGCCAAAATGTCGTACAACATTTATTATAATTTTAATCTCAATGATATTTTGCATTCGAAAAAGTATTAGGATTAAAAAAATACTATTATAGGTTTCATTTTATATACCAATTTTATCATTCAAGGTAGAATTAGTCACGGCCGTTTTATCTGATATCACGCTTTCCGTATCGCTGGTGTCATAATTGTTACTGGATAATTGAGATACATCGAGCCTTTCCGACATTGTAACGCTATTTCTAGAGATATCGTGAAGTGATTTAGCCGATTTTAACGATTCGGTTATATCCTTATATCAGATACGTTTATGTAATAATAAGCAAATAATATAGCATTTCCTTCATTCATTATTATTCTACGTCCTCTTCAATTTTTCTTAAAAAATTTATTGACGCCTGTGGCAAATAAAGAACAAATTTTCCCAAAAAAAACTTTGATCATATTGAGTTTCTCAGGATAAGCTAAATCGCCTTGCGAGGGCACATAATTCCGTATGTCATTTTGCACGTAGATGTGGGTTATAAATACCAATCTTTCCCTCACGTCCCCTACCAATTTGGAAATCGTTTCGTCAAAAACGTTGATTGGTTTGCTGCCATCGGGCTGATTACTAATTATAAAAACATTTCATTTATAATCTAAAAATTAATGTTCTTTCTACATACCGATGACCTTTTTGTTTATTTAAAAAAAAACAATAAAAATTAATAGAAGCATTGTTCCATATAGCTACTATAAAATCCTCATATAAATGAACCTACTAAGAGCTTTTCCCGAATATTAAAATAAACCTTATATCATGATTCTGCTCATCTTTAAGATAATTATCCGTTTCCTCCCTCATGTCAGAAGGAAAGTTCATTTCGTCCCTCAAAACGGAACAGAGTTCGGAGAGTGTCTCTAAATGTTTGATTTTGACTATCCTAGTTTTTATCGATTCGTAAAATATGTAGCACATTCGTTCCAGAAAATCTCTTATTTTGGTATTTATTTTTCCAAGGTTAGTTTACATAAAAAATACTAATTCATAAATATTTTAGAATCTAAAAAATAAACTAAAATAAATTTTTTAATTTATTTGTGGCTATTGTTGTGAGGAAAGATACCTGAAAATAATTTTACAAGTTTAAAAATGCGTTAGTCTACATCGTTAATTCCATTATATACACTAATAGTTTGCTCATTGATTTATTCATTAAAAGTTCTTTCTTTCTTTCTTTAAATAATAATCACTTAAATAAAAATAGTTGAAGAATCAAAATGAGAATAATAGATTTATAAAAGCTCACTAGAATACCTTACCAAATAATGGTAATTTTGAGTAATGAATTGAGTTTTATATTATATAACATTCGTTGAAAGAAATTTGTATTCAATCGGTGGGATCCGATTATATAACATTTTAACTCGTAAAGATAAAATTACCTCAAATCTGGCGTACGGATACTGAAGATATGATGATAAAGATTTATTTCGTCGTTGTAAAGATTGGAGAAAAATGAACACGCGTTTCTAACCTAAAAATCATGAGCAAATTAATATTTTATTGAGATTTTTTTAAAAAATATAATTTTTATTTTTAGATGTAGTGACTCATTTTCATAATTTATTTATCGTGGCTCCATTTGCATAGACAAAATACACGAATATCATTTTAACACATGGTTTTATCATTAAATTATTTATTTAAATAAATCTTTAAGCACACAAGTTAAGCTGCATTTACAGTTAGCGTGAACGAGAATTCGCGGTGAAAAATAAGAAAATTTCATATCACATTTTTGCGTGTCGATATTTTGCGATCCTAATCACGGTGAATTTTTTGGGCGATTTTAAAATACCGATTTGTCACTGCCTTATGTAGTGTTGTTATGATTATTATGTTTTAATGGTAACTCACTGAAATTCGAGAAAATTTTTATATTTTTTAAATAATTTTTTATTAAAAAAATAATAAATATGCGATCGTCTGAATATTGGTGGAAATTTTTTGATGTAATAATTCAAAGTTTCATTACTCAAAAATTTTAAGAATTACATACTTTTTTCGTTCAATTGGCATAATTTTAGATTTTAATGCAATAAGAATTTTTTTAATTCCCCAGAACTGGAAGAAAATCTTCCACTCATTTATATATATGTGAATATTCTTATTTTCGTAATATTAAAAATTGTCAAATTTAAGTGAATTAATTAAATTTTTAAATGATATAATTTTATATATATAAGTATTTATGTTTTTCCTTAAAATTGTATATATCTACTGTGCGCCGACAAAACTATAGGCGGCCGGCGCAATTTTCAAAAAATTATTTTTAGCCGCCGTCAACAAAATCGGCGCAGTTATAAATTTTTATAACATAAATTTTTTTAATTGCTTATTATTTTTTAAAAAAAACGAATATACACTACTCTACAGATATCTCGGCATATTTTTTAATATTTATTTAATAGAAAACTCATTATAAATCCAAAATCGATTTCGTAATTTTATAATTATCATGTATAAAAATTATTTAATTTAAATTATCGGGATAATAATGATTCCCTTGAATTTAACGTCAATCCAGCGGTAAAGAAAACTCTTTCACTAGGTGTGCTAGTCACCCGAATGCAAAGAATTTTTTGGCGAGCTTGAAAAGAATGGGAAGTTTACTCTTCTTTTCTCTCAAAAATTTAGACGTCCATATCTTGTGAATATCGTTTTCCAAGAAAACTGTGGCATTCTTGTTCTAAGTCACCTAACTTGGAATCATAATTTATATTTGTTGAATGTTTATTTGCCAATTTTGTCAAATAACTTAAATTTAATAATTCATCTTGATCCTCATTAGCTATATTTACTACCTGATTACCATCATTCTCTATAAGTTTAAGAGGTTTTATTATAAATTCTGAAGCTGAACAATTTTGCTCTATTAAATACTTTGACACAATTGTCAATTTTTGAAATCTTGGATCTAAAATAGAAGCCAATACCTGGATTTGTGCGCTAGACGGCCGTTGGCCGGCAGCCGACCTTTTTTCGTTACGCCAAAAACGCTACCATTTAAGAAAATCACGCCGGCGCAGAAATTTCTTTCATATTTTACTTTTTATTCTAATAATTGGTCAACATAACTTTTGTAATTTTTTAATGTCATCAGGATTTTGATGAACTTTTTCATTATAGAATTCAATCAATCAAAAATCTAAAATTCCAAAAGTTACCATAATTTTATATATTTTTAAAATGGATGAATCTACATTTAATAATTCTATAAATAATTTTAGTATACAAACTCTGGATAATAAAAAATCCATAGTCTGGAAATTTTTTGCAAAAGAATTAGAGAAATTATTACTGCTCTAAGATATAAAACTGCAGAGGTTGAATTTGAATTCGAGGAATATCAAAGAAAATGTCTAAGTACAATAGATTTAACATCAGACATGTTAGATCTTGACCGTTTATAAATTGGCAATTCCAATGATAATAATAATAACAATAATTCCACGTATATGAAAACCTTAAAATTAAATGTCCCAAGCCCAACACGCTGGCATAGTATATTAATTATGCTAGAAAGCATATCTGGATTAAATAAGGATTTAATTAATAATGTTTTGAAAAGAATTGGGAAGCACTTTCTTAAATTATGAATCTGATCTGGTAGAAGAACTATTAGCATTTCTTTCAAAATTTAAAGAAACTGTCGAATTTCGTTCAGTATAAAAAGGGCCTATTTTAAACTTGGCGTTACTTTTTAGAAGTGAAATTGAAATACATTTAACAGTAAATGATAGTGATAGTTCTGAAATTATTTCACTTAAGGAAAATACACTAAAAAAAACTTGCGTTACGATTTCCGGGTTGTAATCTGCAAGTAGTATTATATAAGTATATTCTTTTATTTATTTTTTTAAATTATCTAGGTATTGGATTCTCTTTTAGATTCAAGATTTTAAAAATTGGCAATTGTGTCAAATTATTAAATAGAGCAAAATTGCTCAGCTTCAGAATTTATAATAAAACATATTAAACTTATAGAGAATGATGATAATCAGGTAGTAAATATAGCTAATGAGGATGAATTATTAAATTCAAGTTATTTGACAAAATTGGCAAAACATTCAACAAATATAAATTATGATTCCAAGTTAGGTGATTTAGAACAAGAATGCCACAGTTTTCTTGGAAGAAATTCACAAGATATGGACGTTATAAATTTTTGGAGAGAAAAAAAGAGTGAACTTCCCAATCTTTCCAGACTCGTCAAAAAATTTTTTGCATTCCGGCGACTAGCACACCTAGTGAAAAAATTTTCTCTACCGCTGGATTGAAGTTAAATTCAAGGAGATCATCAATGTTAAATCTATTGTACTTAGGCATTTTCTTTGATATTCCTCGAATTCAAATTCAACCTCTGCAGTTTTATATCTTAGAGCAGTAATAATTTCTCTAATTCTTTTGCAAAATTTCCAGACTATGGATTTTTTATTATCCAGAGTTAGGATACTAAAATTATTTATAGAATTATTAAATGTAGATGCATCCATTTTAAAAATATGTAAAATTATGGTAACTTTTGGAATTTTAGATGATTGATTAAATTCTATAATGACGTCAATATAATTATGATTTTAAAATAGTATAAAATAAAAATTCATAAAAATCCTAATTGACATTAAAAAAATTACAACAGTGATGTTGACCAATTATTAGAATAAAAAGGTATGAAATATGAAAGGAATTTCTGCGGCGGCGTTTTCGGCGTAACCAAAAAGGTCGGCGGCCGGCCGGTCTATATATACCTATATATTGTCAGTTTATATATTATGTTTGTTACATGTTTGTTACATGTTTGTAACTTTATATTTTAATATAATTTTTTATTTTAGAAGGTTTAAGGCGATCATATTTTTAGTAACGATATATTATATTGTAATAATATATATATGTTGTAAATTGGATAATGTGATTTTATATGTTATAAAATTTTAGATAATGGATTTACGTTGTATATAAAAAAAATAAGATATATTATTTTTTATCAGTTAACTTTTGTAAATAAAGAATCATTTTGAAATCTTATATTTAAATTAAATTCTTTATATTGAGATAAATCCCGACGAGTTCCTTCTAACGTAAAAGTCAAGCTAACATCCCCGCTTGTCAACATGGTGGAGGCTAGGGGCATATAAAGGTCAAGGTTCTACTTAAAACATTGGATCTCAAATTCATAGCGGAGAACATCGTTGATGAAGCTACAAAGAATACATAGTTTATCTTATCAATAAATGAAAGATTTGATACAAAAAAAGGTTGAAAAAAACAAAATTACACGCATTTTTGAATTGTTCAATGCTAAACCTGACAGACTTGAATCTTCGAGAGAATATTTAGACAGACTGAAAGGTTGTGGTTCTGGGCTTAATTCGGAATTAATAGCGGTTAAGTTTATGATTAATTGTCGTAATGAAAAACTTAAAACAAGATTGATAGAAGAAAACACAACAGATCTTAACGATATTGAGGATATTGTGGTCAAATGTCAGTCTATGGAGATAAATAATAATCAAACCTTTGCAGAGAAAGATTCTTGGAGAAGAAATGATGGAGCAAATTGGCAAGGCTGCTCGTCTTGGAAAGAAAACAAGCATAATTTTAAGGCTAACAACAGCAACAAAAACTTCAAAAAACAAGAAATGGTTCAAACACCTTACAATCTTAGGCCAAGAAATAAGATTAACTTTATTAATGATTTATGATTGACATACAACTTAATAATCTCAATTTTTCTTTTATGATAGACACTGGTTCTCCAGTGACATCCTTGCCCATCAAAGATTTTGAAAAGCTGGCCAATTATGAAGATGTTGAGTTGAAAAGTTATTCGAGAAAATTATTCTCATATGAAGGTTCGTTGATCACAGTCATTGGTCAAGTCAGTAATTGTAAGGTTAAATATTTTAATACGATAAAATATTTAGATTTTTATGTTTTGGAAGGGGAAGGACCACCTTTATGTGGTCAAGACTGGATCAAAGAATTTGACATAGTTTAATTCAACTTTGATATTAACACTATTAATAAACTAGATATAGGTGATAGGATAAATTTTTTAACTTTTGACAATCCTTGTATAAATAATGATAAATTTTATAAAGATAAAATGGTTATTCAGTCGATATTTACGGAAGAAGGGTTTGTTGAAGCGAGTTTTGATATTAATAGATTAATTAAAAGGTTCAATTGTGTTTTTAATAGTAAAATTGGCAAAGTTAAAAATTTAAAATTGATATTTTGTTAAAGCATGATTTTAAACCAAGATTTTTGAAAGCCAGGAGAGTGCCTTTTATATTAGAAGAAGAATTAGAGGTCACAATAGAACAATGGCTTCAACAGGGTATAATAACCCCTGTTAGATTTTCTCAATGGGCCACTCCTTTAGTATTGGTTAAAAAAAAGATAATGCTGAGAGTTTGTGCTGATTTTAGAGTCACTGTAAATCCACAATTAGAAAAGGTTGAATAT